TGCACCATAGACTCATCACTGCCCATAGACTCACCACTGCCCATAGACTCACCACTGCCCATAGACTCAACACTGAGACTCAACACTGCCCATAGACTCAACACTGCCCATATACTCAGCACTGCCCCATAGACTCAACACTGCACCATAGACTCATCACTGCACCATAGACTCATCACTGCACCATAGACTCTACACTGCCCCATAGACTCAGCACTGCCCATAGACTCATCACTGCCCATAGACTCTACACTGCACCATATACTCTACACTGCACCATAGACTCATCACTGCACCATAGACTCATCACTGCACCATAGACTCAACACTGCCCCATAGACTCACCACTGCACCATAGACTCAACACTGCACCATAGACTCAACACTGCACCATAGACTCACCACTGCACCATAGACTCACCACTGCACCATAGACTCAACACTGCCCATAGACTCAACACTGCACCATAAACTCAACACTGCACCACAGACTCACCACAGACTCACCACAGACTCACCACAGACTCACCACTGCTGTGTGTGTTGTCCTTACATACCCCTCGCACCTCCGATAAGCACGGTTGACTGCGTACGGCGCGTAAGAAGTTCACGGCAGATACATCATCACCAGCACGCCAAGCCCATTCCGAGAATCGCCTTCCTCCTCACCCCCCTATCTCACCCCCCTCCCTCCTCACCCCCCTATCTCACCCCCCTCCCTCCTCACCCCCCTATCTCACCCCCCCTCCCTCCTCACCCCCCTATCTCACCCCCCCTCCCTCCTCACCCCCCCTCCCTCCTCACCCCCCCTCCTCACCCCCCCCTCCCTCCTCACCCCCCCTCCTCACCCCCCCCTACCTCCTCACCCCCCCTCCTCACCCCCCCTCCCTCCTCACCCCCCCTCCTCACCCCCCCCTACCTCCTCACCCTCCCTCCTCACCCCCCTCCCTCCTCACCCCCCCCCCCCTCCCTCCTCACCCCCCTATCTCACCCCCCCCCTCCCTCCTCACCCCCCCCTCCCTCCTCACCCCCCTATCTCACCCCCCCCCTCCCTCCTCACCCCCCCTCCTCACCCCCCCTATCTCACCCCCCCCTACCTCCTCACCCCCCCCCCTCCCTCCTCACCCCCCCCCCCCCTCCTCACCCCCCCTCCTCACCCCCCCTACCTCCTCACCCCCCCCTCCTCACCCCCCCTATCTCACCCCCCCCCCCTCCTCACCCCCCTATCTCACCCCCCCCTCCTACCTCCTCACCCCCCCTCCCTCCTCACCCCCCCCCTCCTCACCTCCCTCCTCACCCCCCCCCCCCCTCCTTACCACCCCCCACCACCCTCCACTCCCCATTCCGAAGAACGCAGCACCTGTGACAAGTGTCGTGAACGTGATGGTATCATAGGCCTTGACCAGGTCAATAAAGCAGAGATATAGGTCTTGTTGGAATTCCCTACACCTCTGCTGTGGTAGACGGACAGAAAATATGGCATCAGTGCAGGACCGCCCTTTCCTGAAACTGCATTTGGGCTCCGCAAGCCTCTCCTCAGCGTGTCTAGCAAGGCGATGTTGGTAATCCTTGCCAGGACACACACAGAGACACACACACAGACACACCACACACAGACACACCACACATACAGACACACACAGAGACACACAGAGACACACAGACACAAACACACACAGACACACCACACACACAGACACACACAGAGACACACACACAGACACACAGAGACACACAGAGACACACAGACACACAGACACACCACAGACACAGACACACAGAGACACACAGACACAAACACACACAGACACACCACACATACAGACACACCACACATACAGACACACCACACATACAGACACACGGACACACAGAGACACACAGAGACACACAGACACACAGACACACCACAGACACAGACACACAGAGACACACAGAGACACACAGACACAAAGACACACAGACACACCACACACACAGACACACCACACACACAGAGACACACAGAGACACACAGACACACAGACACAAACACACACAGACACACCACACACACAGACACAGAGACACACAGTGACACACACACAGACACACAGAGACACACAGACACACACACAGTCACACAGAGAGACACACACACAGACACAGAGACACACAGAGACACACACACAGACACACACAGACACACAGAGACACACAGACACAATAACAACCGCCATTCGCCACTAAGTGGCGGTGACGTCACCACGACGCTTGTGCCAGGCCAAGTGCACCTTGAGGCCACGTGAAGTGTCGAACGCCCGCTGGCAGGAGGTCACCGAGATGACCGAGATGACTGGCTGATGCACCACCTGTGCCCCCTACTGTGCCAACTTGCTGTGCTTTAGCCACCCGGCGCTCCGCTCGTTGTTGTGAGCGTCGCTCCTCCGCCCTCCGTTGTTGTTGGAGGGCGACTGCCTCCAACTGCCCAGTAGCGTCCTTCACGAGCCTCCTCCACTGA